AACTGTATAAAGTTAGCGATATAACCCAAAAGTTTGTAATAATAATAAAAAAACAACTCTGGTAACATCTGGTCAACAAAGAAAAGTGTGCTATCTTAACATAGGCTGACTGGACAGTGAATTTTCAAGAGTGTTTCCAAGACTCAGCTGGAACGCACTGAGAGTGATGCATTCTTTGTTTGTTCATCAAACAATCAAACTGCTTTTATAACAAGGCACAAGATGTTTTTTTAGAAAGCCGGCGCTACCTCTAATCATGTTTTCTGGAAGAGAGTGCAGTTGGGAAGGCCTCGGCATGAGTTTTTAATGGACTCTAATGGGCTTGTTAGAGCCTTGGGAAAATTGTTTTGATGTACCGTACAGTATGGAGGTGAATCAATCCTTTGCAGGTAGGCTCAGGTTCTATGGTATAGTTGAAGACTGTTGTTGTCAATTATTCATTTATCGCCAATATAGAATTTTATAAAAACTATTTTTTATTAATTTAAGAGAAAGGAGTAAGTACTGACAAATATATATATATATATATATATATATATATATATATATATATATATATATATATATATATATATATATATATATGTTGTTGTAGAGTTTATTGGAATTAAAATTAAAACCATTAAAGTGAACTTGTTATGCATCCTACAATTTATTTGTATTGTTTGTTTGTGTGTGTGGTTAGATCCCGTTTGCCTTCTGTCAAATGTGTTGTACATGCCTAAACCAGTAGCATTGGCAGATTTTTTGCTAGTTTGTCTTTACTCTTCTTTCACATTTAATAATTTATGTGTTCACACTTTAAAATAAGGTTTAATTAATGTTGGTTCATGTATTTTTTAATATGAACTAAGAATAACCAATACTTATGCATTTATTAGTCATTATTACTAATGGGTTATTAAAAATCCTAATTCATCCATGTTAAAATTAAGTAACATACTGTAAGTTAACATGAATTAATAGCTTTATTTCAATTAACTATCGTTAAAGAAGATACTGTAAATAAATGTAAACATTGTAATAAATGTGCTGTTCATGTTAGTAGATAAATATATTCACACTAACTAATACAACCTTATTGTAAAGTGTTGGCATTTATTATGACACACTGTATCGGTCAGTTTACTTGCAAAGACTGTAGAATACACAAGACATGTCACTCGTATCTTTTTGAATTGGGAAAAGTGTAAGGGTCAATATAGTGAATAAAGCCCCACCTACTAGTACAGGAGCTAAACATTGATCCCTATATGGTGAATAAATCCCTCTCTAGTACAGGAGCCAATCATCGATTGCTATAGACTGACGATACTCCTCGGAGTAGGGGGCTTCGGACCAGATGTGAGTTTCTGCAGATTTTGTGTGATTTGGATGTTTAGAAATGAAAGACTCAGTTGTTATTTAATTTCATTGGTGGTTCCTAACATGAAATTTAATGATAAGCTTGGCAAGCAGTTTTGGAGAGTTTGATATTTCCCCATTTACACAGAATGCCCGAGCATACTGCCCGAGAGGTGTTTCAAAGATGGCCGCCTATTAAAAAGACTTGCCTTAAAGGGACTTTGTAGATTGTAACTGCACCTTATGTTATCATTCCAATGTGAATTTTTGGTCTATGTGTAAACGTATTTAATCTATATTTGTTCTATTTAGTTTTGGATGTATGTTGTCAGTAGCACGTGCACATTACTGTTTAAATATGCAATATGCTTGAATAAATACTGAAATATTGGTTAAAAAAAATACATCTTGCAAACACAATTATAGTTCTGGATTTGAGTGAATGAAGACTGATTTGTCTCACAATCTGATAAGGTTGTACTCCAACATTTGAGATTTTTGAAATGTTTCTGAATCAAGTTGAGTTCATTCATGTGTAACACGAAAGATTAAAAACATGGATAAACATTGAAAAACATCATATTGCTATTACCATAATTATGTTTACCATAAACTTGTTTTGTAACAAGACTGACCACAATACAACCTGACAGGCCGAGATTCATTCAGATGCTATGTTTAGATGTTGATAGTGTTTCTGTAAAAACATTCCAAGTCCGAAGGTGTGCACAACTCCAAATATAATGTCAGGTTTTGTCATCTTGAAATTATGGCAATTATGTGATGTAAACCCAGCCAGTTTGTTGTGCTGTAAATAAATTTATCATACTACTACAAATAACAAGTAGGCTATATCACGAAAAAATGTTTAAACAAGAAAAGTCAATATATCGGTACTTGTGTCAGTTGTGTGAGATAAACCCTAAACAAATTTCTGTGTAAAGCCCCCCTGAAAGTCATTGAAATCAGGTTTACAACACATATGTACCGACCAAAACATTGAGTCAGTGTCAAAATTTGATAAATGACTGATACTGATTCTTATAACCAACAATTGATGTTGAATCAAAGTCAGTTTGCCATCTGGGATTGTACACATATCAACAAAATGCTAGTAAAAAAGGATTGTTGCCCTAAACAGGTAGGCTAACTAACTAGAGTATGCTGGAGTAATCGTTGTATACATATTGGATAATGTTTCTTTAGCCACAAAAAATGCAAACAGTTCTGTAATAAAAAATATAAATAAAGTCACTAAAACAGTGTTCAAGTGTTTTCAGAAAGTAAAAACACAATATATACTGTATTGCCAAGCCAAGAAAAACATGGTTCTCTCTGTAAAGGATAATGTCTGTACTTGAACATTGATGTCTACTGTAAGTATTGATAACAGTATTAAACATTTACAGCTTGCAGGTCTACCTTAATCATGTACTGTGGCCAACATGGAGTCTGCACATGCAGAAAACTGATTACTTGCAGATTGGTGAGGAAGTCATGCAGTCTATTTTTTATTTGTGTAAGTTAATATTTATTCCTTTTTTTATATAAGCAAATATTCTATATTATTGAATAACATACAGGTGTTTGGATGATTTGTGTACAATACAATTTGCAGAGTGATATATTTTAGGGTATTATATCTGTGAGTCATAAACAAGTCTCTTGGATTTGCATTGCAAACCTTAAATAATTTTTTTTTTAATCATGTACTCTAAAAATTATTTATTTTACTTAGATTTTTTTTTATCTATTTAACAACATTCTGCGAAGAAATAGCCACAAATCCACAGATTCTGTCTGGCCCTGGCTATAGGTCAACTGACCTGTCAGTCAACTACTGATAAAGTCTCAAGAGCACCAGTCCACTCTCTGTAAAGTAGACTTGCTTATCCATATTTAATGGAAGTCTCTTGAAGAAACATAGCCTATTGTAGCCTAACTAGCATGATTAAACACTAATATACTGTTTAAATCTGAAAACTGAACAAATTCTTGGCGCTTTGCTAATTGTGCCAGTTACTGGAAATGCACTGAAAAAAAAAAAAACCTCAAATCCTCTTTCTGTAAATCACTGAAACCAGAATCCAGGTGTAGCCTATTAGGGTCTTTATCATTATAAAATGCCTTTGAGATGTTAAAATTTTCAAAAAAGAAAAGTTTGAGATTTTTGATGTAACCACATAGTTGTTGTATTAATTAGACATTAGGCTGTAAGAATTTGGAAGTAGAAAAACTGTAAATTAACCTCAAATTGTCAACTCTGTCATGGACAAATTCAAAGTAGTATAAGTATATTTTCATTACAGTGTGATTATAAAATGTGTATTTACAGAAAGGTAATGTGTCCCTTTACCAACCCAACTTTTTAAATTTAGCAAAAAGCCTATTTGCAATAATAAAATAATGGACAAAATATTTATTTCCCAATAAAATATGGAATCGATGCACATTATTTTCAAAATAAAACCCAAGATCCAAAATATTTTGTCAAACTTTCAAACAATATTCCTGGACCTTATTGGTTAATAAGAAATTGCGGAAGATTGTTTAAAAGTTTATAAATAATTTGTTTATTTTCATAAAAGTTTAACATGACAGTGGTAAACAAGATGACAGGGTGGACATTGGCATGTATTTTTATTTCAAACAGTCAATGAGCTCCATTTTATGGAGGCTTGTATTGTCCACTCATTGATTGCATCTACTGGTGTAGTACTGTGTGTATATAAGAGTTGCAACATAAAAACATTAATTAATTACAATAAATAAATAAATAAATACATACATACATACATACATACATACATACATACATACATACATACATACATACATACATACATATGTACATACATGCATACATGCATACATACATACATACATAAATACATACATACATACATACATACATACATACATACATACATACATACATACATAAACAAAGTGTCAATAGCAATACATATGTTCACCCAAGGACGTATTTGAGACAGGGTGAACAATGAAGGGGTCATTTTTGGTTAAAGATATTTATTCAACACATGTTGTACCTGTAGCTGGTGAAACCTTTCCCTGTTTAAGCTCTTTGTACACAGTTAAAAAACTATATTTTTTGTATTTTTTATGATTTTTTTAAATTGTTAATTAATATTTTACTATGACATGGTGGACATGATAAGCTTGACAACATTCAGTTTCAAACACAATATGCGGGGGGAAAAAAGGAAAAATAAGTGTAGATAGTTACTATGTGCATAGCAGATGTTTTAACCTCCTCTCAAGAAAGGCAAAATAGTCATGGGGATGCCAATGAGTATCAGGGGGTTTCTTAAAGGAGCATTTACCACATCATGACAGGGTGGAGGACAGCATTTTTATGGACGCGTGCAAAACAATTAATAATATTATGAAAACAAAATAAGTATTATTAAAAAAAAGTAATTTTATCAAATAACTTGTTGAAGACAAAAATCACTGAAGTTGGCTGAGCAGTGTGTGGGATATGGCAAAATCACATCATTCAGAATATGGCAAAAATTTACAAAAAACATATTTCTGAACACTTATAATTCTACCTGCATGTGTGTAAAGGTTTAACCACTTAAAACATCAGAATTTCATTATTTTGCATTATGCTCATATAGAACTGATTCAATCTTGTGGGACATCAAATGCACTTTATAGTGGAAAAAATACTTTTAAACGTTTAGTCACATTTTGCACCATATTATTTTTTGTTTACCTATGGACTGGTTTATCTGCACCTAGTGCCATTGGAAATATAAAACAATAAATACAAATTGACAATGTTCTGAAATGTTTCATCTGCTTATCTTCGGCGTCAGTAGTGGCATCCCAGTAATGCAATGGGACGGTCAGTGTTGGAAGCGCACGTCACGTTTCTCCTCAAGCTCCACGAGCTGCGCGGTGCTCACTTTCAGTTTGCGCTTTGCAACTTCGCAAGTGTCTCTGCGTTTCCGCTGCTGTGATGCGACATAAAATGCTTCTTTATGCACGTGAGGCTCCATGTTTGATATTCAAATAAGGAAAACGAGAGCTTTATCAGGTTTATCGCTGTGCGTGCGGTTTGGAGACATAGGGAACATCACGTCTATCACCGGCGATATGAATGTCGATATTACTGAATGACCTAAGGACAGACTATCATGTAAGTTTCACCCCTTAGCTTTTACTTTGGACTTGAATGAAATGTTTGTTTTGTTTAGCTTATTAAAATGTCGCTTTAAGTACTTTTCAAACAAGTGTCAGGTTTTATTTAAACACATTTGCAACAAACCTGTACGTCTGCTGCCTTATTGACGTGACTTAATGTTTTCCAAATCTAATATTGAGTCATTTATACTTGTGAGATTACTAGACATTAAGCTGATAACGCATAGATGTAATAAAATGTTATTGTGGTCATTCTATAAAGTGTCTTTTCCATTTTGTAAAGGTTATTTTTTATGACTAAGGAAATAACATACACTTAATATCAGTGTTAATGTGTTGACAGTTTTACAGTTCATTTAGTCTGAAAACATTATGAGATTACACGTTGTTTACAAAGTGAGTGATATTTCTAATTTAATGTAAAGTAATATTAATTTCTAATGGAAAGTTATTAGGAAATTTAAAATCATATAATGCTCATATATAGCCTATCATATTTGTCTGCTTATAACTTCTCTTTGCGTTTTAACCTTTTAATGTAACATAATTGTAAAGGACAATAGCCCCCAGTAGTTATAATAAATCCTCTGTTGAGCACATGTGGATTATAGTGTGTGCAACTTCTCGCATCGTTTCTCAAGCAGTTTAACAAGCTATAAAGGCCTGGCTGCAGGTTTACAGCATGTGATTTGTGTGTGTACAATACAATATATTTTCACTCACATTCAACATATAAAAGCATCAGTTAAACAGTCATTGCGTATCCCTTTTTGGCGGGGAATGACAACAATATTCGTAAACAGATACCATTTCGTATTTCATTTCAGCTCAGTAGCTGTTGAATGAAATATGGTATGAATTCAATACAGGGGCTTTTGCATGTAAGCCCAGCACTTGAGATATGTTTTCTTCTCCCCTCGCAGCATCTTGTTTTCTCCAGCATGTGGTTGATCTTATTGAGGCAAAGGCCATTGTGGCACGTGAAATGTTTTCTGGAATGTTCCCTTGTGTCTTGGCCGATGTAGGTCTCCCTCTTGGTTTTGTTAGGAAACAAGCACAAACATTTAATCAGTCCTTGTGAGCAAAGAATAATTGCCTCTTGGGGATGCGAGATAAGAACTAACATTAAAAGCATGACTAGAAGAGAAGAGTAATCTTCATGTGAACCAATAAGGTGTCTGCTCCAGTGCCACCCGCCTGAGCTAATAAGGGTGTTTTGTGAGGGTAATGTCTGGTTTGAGCAGCAGATTGTGTGAGGGAAGCAATAACCCTGTGGCATGATGGCCCCACAAGTGGTTGTTTTCAAACTTGCTAATGAACTCATAGCAGTTTAGTGTATAATTAAATATGTGGAGTAATTTGTAGTTTAAACATACAGCAGAGGCAGATATTAAGGCTCACAGCTATTTGTATAAAGCTTTTTGTGGTCTGCTTTTTTTTTTTACTCACCTACCCTAATACAATGCCGTTTCTTGGAAAAAAAAAATAAAAACATGCCTGCGCTAATGTAAAGTGCACAGCGTGCTAAACGTATCATTGACTTTCTATTGAGCGGTTTGATCTTTTCAGCAACCTGACACTGACTTCACCGGAAACATGTTAGATATCAAGCTATATCATATTACGGCATCAGACATATGCTTATCTTGCGCATCGCTCTTCTCAGAACCCGAGGCTCAGTCTGGATCATGATTAACACGGTTGAGTTTTTCAATGGCTGGATCAGTAGAACCCTGTCTAAACATTCCCACCCTGTCAGCTGGGTTATGTAAAAAGTCAAAATGCACAATGTTGTTTGTCTCCTTCCTCTGTAGATGGTGTAACTCAACACATTCTGTGTAACTCGGCACGTTTATGGCTGTAATCTTCAGTCCCTTGTGGTCCACTGGACAAAAGTAGCAGCTTTTAGTGGAGCTATTGGTGTAGTCACTTGTGGCAGTATTGACGTGCGAGAATAAAATACGAAGGTTAGGTCATTGCTGATGATTCAGGTGGCTCGGGATAAAGGTTTTAAACCTTTTCTTTGGCTCTTATGAGCACAGCTTTTATGAGGCTTTCTTTTTTGCTGAAAGAAAAAATGTTGAAGAGTACGTGTGATTAATGAGATGCTGAAATTCAGAAAATATAAGCATGCAGTTTTGATACGAGAACACTCTTGTGTTTTTGTCATGTTGTGTGAGCTAAGACGTAATTCAGATCATTTTCCTTGTACAAAGGTCATGTCAATTATTATCACGTTAATGTTTTTATCAGCCTTGTTATCGACAAGGACTTTTGAAGGACCCATTAAGCTATTACTAGACTTTTATTGGAAGATAAAAGTGTGCCATTATGTTTTAGAGACACTCAGCCTCCAAGCTGTCAATCAGCTCCTTAAAGCGTCACTTGAGCTTCATGTTAAAATCACATTTGAAACCCTCTGAACCCATTAAAACACACATGAAACATCACTTTGGGGGAAAAAAAAACATGTCTACATGAATCAGTGTTCTAAAACTACTTATACATTTGCATAAAATGCGGTAAAAGGGCATCTTCTGGGCTACATGAGCAGATATGTGACAAAAATGTAGTAAGATAAATACGTTTGTCATAACATTTTGTTATAGTAGTTTAAAAATAAGCCTTTATATATATATATATATATATATATATATATATATATATATATATATATATATATATATATATATATATATATATATATATTGGCCATGTAATCATGTTTAGTGTGGAAAGGTATGTTTTTGCTATTTTTCAGTGTGCATTTTTCCCATTACTTAGTATATGCATGCCTCTGTTCTCTAACAACTTTCTGCTAACATAACATAACTTTCTGAAAGCAACAACCTAATTTTACTTTAGACATTTTTACTTTTAAAACAACAGTTTCACAGTGGTGAAAAAACTTTGCTCTTCCGCTTGCCAGACAAAGTTAGTTACTCACCTTTGCAGGTGGTCTAGTACACAATTAGTAACATCTCATATACAAATATTGGCTATATTATAAAAACAATAATAATTTTAGGATAATGAATTCATAAAACATGATGACAGATATATTAAATTCTAAAATCTCAATAGAAACTTTGAACATAAATATGAGGTGACAATGTGATGTGGTCTCACGGTTCGGTTCGGTTACAATTATCATGCCATCAATTCGGTTAAATTTTTGGTGCATCACGGTGCATTGACGATGCTTTCCATACACAGTTTTATATTTTCTTCAGAGCACAGCAATGCTTGTGTTAAAATGTATAAATATATTTATATTTATTCGCTATTTGTAATACATTTTGTCCTTTAATACAAACAGTCAGATATATGAACTGTACCTTTAAACAACACAAGTATTTTTAGCAAATAAACAAATGTAAATATCCCACTCGCTTTCTGAGCCTTGTCTACCAAGTTCTTACACCCCTTTGATTGGTCACGCGCTCAACAGAAAGGGCTGTGATTGGCTCTTACGCTCTGGCACTCTTCATAGATGAGTGACTCTGATAAACGGCAGCGGGGATCACAGCTGGTCCATGATAGACATGGTGGAGAAAACTCTGCAGGCACGCGCTCGTGTCTGTATCCAGAAGTATAGGAAAAGTCATGCCAGCAGGTGAAATGTGCCAGTGAGAGAGAATGAGAGAGAAAGGGAGTTTACTTCTATTCTCTCAATCACAGTGAAATAGCGGCTTCTGTTGCAAGTGTCAGTGAAAGTTTGTCCAGAAAACACACACGCAGTGAAATTGTGCACAGTTTCTGAGTTTTTAAGTAGTTGGAGTGTTGTAAATACTCCCGCTCGCCTCCCTTGCCATAGTAAGCTACGATGACATAGCGCATATGAGATAAATGACGTCAGTATATAATAACCGGTTATGATTATTAATGAACCGATACCGAATTGTCCGCGTCTGCATTACGGTGCACCGAAGAAACAATTAATTCCTAATTTGTGTAGTATTGCTTGAAGCACCACTCAGACACATTCACTTTAAAATCAAGTTGCTTTCTGTAAATTAGCTGCAAATTAGTACAAGAAATTCACTGAGTGAAAAATATATATATTGAATAACATTGGTCTCAAACTGAATTCCTGGAAGGCCACAGCTCTGCACAGTTTGCTCCAACCCTAATCAAACACATCTGGTCAAACTAATCAAGGTGTTCAAGATTAACTATTAAGCAGGTGTGAGTTGGGGACTTCCCTCCCCCCAGATACTTCCTCCAGCTCCTGCGGAGGGGATCCTGAGGTGTTCCCAGGCTAGCTGAGAGACATAGGCCCCGTTTACACTAATGCGTTTTAGTTTGAAAACGCATACGTTTTGCTATGGTTACGCCAACCGTCCACACTACGCCGGAGTTCTCGAGCGCCGAAAACGGAGCGTTTCGAAAACGCTGGAGAGGCCGTTTTCATTCTGAAACGCTGCTGCTCCGTCTCAGTGTGGATGATGGAAAACGGAGACATCTGAAAACGGAGGCAGGGCTGCAGACATTCGCCTCTCTGATTGGGGCTTTTCCTCAATATTAAGTAGCCTAACACACACAGTTCAGTCCTGCATTCTCCCCTTGTAAGTTCAGACTTCGCAAGTTTGATCAAGGCTGCAGTCTCTTCTTCTCAGTTTGATATGGAAAACAGACTATACCGAGGACACGGGTAAATCTTCAAAGGGAACAGTGTACTTTATAACTTCATTCACATCACCCTGGCTACGTTGTTTCACTTTCTCAACAATAAAATGTAAACATGATTTAAGGAACTGCCTATTTTCATTTTAATATTAGCAACTTAGACAGCAGAAATATTGAGGCGTCGTGCTGCATGAGCGTCATCTTCACTGTGTGGATATTTATAACAAAACGGAGCCGATAACAACTGTCTCCTTTCAATTTCAGTGAAAATACAAAACACACCCTCTCTTTTGCTGAATATCAGTTTTAATAATCGATAATTATAAAAGTATAACATACAATAAGTTTATACATTATAGGAATTAA